AGCAGTATAAGAACCGAGTTTCTGAGAAGAAACTTATTATAACTTATAGTGTTCTAACTTTTACAAGAAAAAATGGCATATACAATTTTGAAAAATCGAAAGTTTCAAGTGTCTATAAGCCGTATAAAATTATTCAAATTAATTCGAAACTATGTCTTTACACAATAATATATATATTTTAACACAAATTTGTTGAATTATCCGACTTCATCAACATTTTATTATGTTACATATTACAAAAAATATAATAGTAAAATGAGCCATTCAAAGTATCAAACAGATAACAATTCCTATCCGTAGTATCTTATGATAATGATGATGTGAGTAATCATTATGTACAAAAACTCAAAAAAAAAAAATAAATATGCCATCATATGTGGTGATGATAAGAATCTCGATCAAAATTAAAACTTTTTTTGCAGTTTTTCTACATTTTTCTCATTTATTCGGAATACTGTTGAGAAATTAAAAAAATGAACCATAAAAATTAGCAATTAAAACCCATTTTTAAAAAATTAGCAATTAAAACCCATTTTTAATAATTTAATTTTTATTTGGTAATGGTCCAAGTACTCCTGGTTGTAACCGGATATCCAAGATATATACAAAAAAAAAAATGTATATATACATCGTAGCAAAATCAATATATTTCTGGTTTCATTCAGAATTTATTAAAAATTAGGAAATGGTTTCTATTTGGTATTATGGTCAAAATAATTTCTTTAATTTTCCAATAATTTTCCTTAAATAGTGAAAAATGGAGAGTAAATTGCAATAAATACAATTTGAACTAAATTTTGAACCCTCTAAACTAATAATCATATTATCTAGTCATGTATGTTATTTATATTTTTGTATCTGTATACACGATTTTGACTTAAAATATTGATCTGCCCATAGAAATAATAAAATATGTCGTATGGTAAATTTTATTTAAATAATATTTTAGGAGGGTGATTTTATCAATTTTTCAATAACTGTTTTATTAATTGTGAAAAACTTTAAAAATATATAAAAATTAGTAAAATTTAAGGCATATTTCAAAAATAATAGGATATACATTTATTCCAGCCTAAAACATAAATCTTTAAATATTAAATCATGCTTTATGTACATATATTGTCTACTATTCAAATTTATTTTTTCTTAATTAGTATTAAAACTATAAAATCTTTTATACTAAATTATTTTTACGACGATTTATTTAATCTCAGTAAATGTTTAATTTTTAACTGTCAATAAATTATGAGTAGTTTTGAATTATTGACCTTCCGAATTTCCATTTTTAACAATAGGCAAATTGTTTGCGATATTGAATGGTGTAAGATATGCGGTTATCAATGGTAAGTGCGCTGTTTTGAACGACGTCAATTATAAGAATAACAAATATTGACCTAATAATTTATCCAACCCTATGTATCACCCGTCAGTGGTGTTTCAGCCGACTTAGGGTTCTCGTCCTTTTTAACATTTTTGTTTCTAAAATATTTTAAGTTTTCTGTGTAAGACTTCCACGGATATAAATCTATGTGGTAAGCGAATGCAATTTTTTTCTCAATATCTGTATTCGATACCTCTAAATAGGCAATAAAAAAAATGAATGCGATAATAATACGAACAAACGAAATAATCATAAATTACTCGATGGTGGTTTTCAGTTGCTGAAATTGAAAAACTACAATATTTTGATATGGGTATTCGTTGTTCTACCGTATACATAAAGGGAATTGGAATGAAAACATTTTTTCATCAATCCAATTTGTATCGGAACTCACAATAACTTTGCAATTCTCTATGTATACATATTTCGTTCTGTTCGACAAATTAAATGTCTCCCACAGCGCGAATTCGATTTTGTTTCGGTACAAGATTAAACTTCGTTATAAAAAAAAAAAATGGCAATGTGGCAAACGATAAATTATATCGTATAAAAAAAAAAAAAAAAAACATCGAAATTATTAATAAGGAAAATAACATTAAAAAACCGAAATTCGCGTGACCGGAATATCGGAATAACGTTTGGAAAAATGACGGAGATCTCAAGCTGATTGTTTCTGTTCTGCGAACGGATACGCGAGAGATTAAACGGGGCACTGACGAGCACTTTTCGTTTGAGGTACGTTTTCCAAGGTACGAATATCGCGACGACAAGTCGTTGGGACCAATGTTCTTAACTAAACGCAACGTGTCGTATCGATTTCGGTAGCTACATAATATCTTCGATACATATCAATCAATGACATTAATATATGTTCAATCAACGGTAATAATATAACGTTAAGTTCACTCCCAAATTTGTCCGCGTACAAACGCGTATGTATTACAGATTTTAATTTTAACTAAAAATTAATGTAGTTTGGTCTTAGTTACTATGAATATGTACTTTTATATGTAATTTTTAATATTTTATCTTTATTATTGGTAGAAGAAAACGAATAATTTTTATATTTCCTTCTATAAAACTAAAAAAAAAAGAAAAAAAAAAAGAACAGATTATTTGCTTAAGTATCGTGATACTGAAGGATCTTATGAAATATTAATTAATGGACATTTAAAAAATAACATAAAATGTCATGAATTTTTTCGTGTCAATACTCAACAGTTTGTTTTTTACTTTCAATAGATAAAAATCGTGTTTTTCAATTATTTTTACTTATCCGATTTTCCAATCCTAATGGGATGTTTCTTTCTAGATGCTCTACTTTAATATAATTTAATATAATATTTTTATAATTAGTATCGGCCAAATTAAACAAAGTAGAATTGGCCTGTACTTGTAAAAATATGACTTCGTCCGATGAGGAAAAAACTAATTTAGACGCCAGTAAAATTTGTTTATGGTCGTTGTGACGATGTTGGACAATAGTATCATGGAAACAGTCTATAACTTTTTCATATAAAAGATACTTGGTGAACGTAAAAATACTTATGGAAAACGTAACTTCATATTAATAATAATAGTAATAATAACGATATTAATAATAATAATAATAATAATACCTATGTAATAGTAATACACGAAGAAGGCCAATATGGTGTTATTTTAGCCAGTAATCTAAAGTACCACTCATATCCAATCCGTAAGCCGTAAATCCTATAAGACGTTATAGGATTTGTAGCGCATCTCATCCAAATTCAAGCTGTCCATTTTACTCAATGTATTTACTGTTCTTTCGTTTTCCTTTTATGAAATAGAGTTTTCCTCTATCGTAACCGGCTCCTTAATTCTGGAACGTATTTAAGGGCGCTAAATTTACTTGATCTTATTTTCAATATAAACCATTCAATATAAAACACTATTATGTTGATGCTACCTTAGCAGATAAAAGGTTCTTTGTTGAATTTTTATTTCAAAAATGGTCCAATACAAATATGTAATCATGTGCATCATTCGATTGTAAAAGACGGCACAAATATTTTATTATGTATACTATTTATATGTACGTGATTTTTAAAACTATTTCAAATAAATAAATAACGGTATTTTCGATACCCGCGCGAACAACACGGGTTGAACAATAAATACTATTGACATTTCTACATTCAAAGGACCGCCCAAGATCCATGCCGCCGCGTGTCCCTATATAACAGGTATACACACCACCCTTCACAGAGCTCTTGATCTTAGGTCGTCAGTGCATGCGCACCGATCGTAAGATCAACGAAGAGTTTATATATGTGATTTATTTTGACTTATAATTTTAATCCGTTTGACTAGTGTTTTTCGTATGAGTATTGAAGATTATCCGGATCCAGTGCAATTAAATTCTGCATTTGTCCTTTTTCTTTCAACCTCGCATCGACATCTGAAGGTCTACGGTAAAACAAGTAAGTGCTGCTTTCTTTAGCTTGGCAGACTGTACAATTGCGATGATCGGCTCTCGAACCTTCTCAACCCTGAGAGCCCTTCCTTAAACAAGAAGGAAGGTAAAAACCTATAGGTTAGGTTAGGTTAAACAATACATTAATACCTCATCGCGAATCACATATATACCATCTCCCCCATTATCCTCTCAAATTACTTTACTTAATTTATTTTTTGTATTTTGTGGTTATTACAAATATAAAGACTGTATCTACGTATTATGTCAATAATAATTAGAGTTGTTATAACCAGCGCAAAAATTCTCGTTTACAAATGTAATTTTTAAACTAATTTAAGTACATGAGTGAGTAATAATATGTACGTTTTAAATAAATCGATTCCGACAGGTACCGACACACGGGCAAAACATTCTTTGCTCGAATGTTTTGTCGTGTCACGTCGTTACGGAGCTTACCGGATCGGTGTGAATTTCCGTATTCAATTATATAGATAGAATATTTTTTCGTGTCGTGTCGAATCGGGCTTTAAGCGCTACAACCCGGTCATCATCGTCTACCTGCATAACACGCGTGCCACGAACACGTTAATTTATACCGAATTTATGATACATAATTGGACTCCAGCAGTAGTTGTATTTAAAACGTTATTCAATTGCGTGCACTTACTGTCACGTACCTACTTAAAAATATATCGAAATTCCCTCGACTCGGCAAAACTTGTGCTCAACGTCAGTCCCTGCCACCATCGGTTTCTAGAATTCACTACGAATACGCTATCGTTTCATTAAATTTTGTAGCCTACGCGGACGCAGACGATTGACGTCACGGAAACCGTTTGCGTTCAACTGCGCAAGAACATGTTTTCGACAGTAGAAACGACAACAAATTAATATGGTTTTTTTTTTCTAATGCAAACGATCATGAAGACGTTTCGGTGGTCACGTCCACGTAGGCGCAACCGTTTTCGACGGTAAGACGTCGTACCAGTGTACGTTCTGGAATCAACACCATCGCATGTAATCGACTTTCTAACACAGTTCGTCGTCTAATAACATCGTTAGCCCGTCGATAAAAACTGCTCTACGTTCGTGCGTTGATCGCGCACTCGATTTACGGTCGGATTTCAACGCCCTGGAGGGAAATACGTCGTCGCTATCGTTACTGTTATAACTTACCTCCAACCCGGTCGAATCGTACATGTTCTGTAGATCTGGTCCCACGTTTTCTAGAATACATCTTCTTTCTTCCAGAAAATCTAAGAGCAAAAATATTTCAAACAAACAATTAGTCAACGATACTATTATTCCCTAGTAAAATGATTATATCCAATGATGGACGAGTTATCCATAATTTCATATTGTTTTGATTCACAGAAGTTTAATTAGGGGAAAAAATTGTTCTTAACATGGACATAGAATTAAGTTACTAATCAACATATACGTAGCTGCACATCATGGAAAAAAAATGTAATCAGTCAAGTTGGAAATCACTTGAAAAAAAAAACCAGTAGAGTGATAAGTAATTCAGTCAAATAAGTATCTTTACTCAAAATATTTAATTCGTTAATGGCCAACCTTAACAATATCGCAATGCATTTATATTGTTTTACGGATGAGAATAATAATTTTCAACCCGTCCTGCTAAAATAATGATTATGCAGATTGCATTGTTATAGGTCGAGCGTGAACTCGTTTGAATTCCGGTACATCGGTGTAAACTGCAAATTTTGGACTTTGACGGGAATTGAATTGTCTAATACTTATAAAATACCGTTAAACTCCACCGACACTATTAGCTCGAATTCGACCTCGGTTCTACAGCATCTATATGATTCATGTGCATGCTACATTTACACACAGTTTCGTCGAGTATACGTTTTACGGGCGAGTAATTTCAGCGAAAAAATATATTCGCCTGTTTTGGAGTCGGAATCGGTACAACCATCAATAAGCCCCCTGCAGTGTCAGTGCGTCCAGAACACAATCGATGCTTTTGCTAAAAACGCACCGCGGTACTTCATTATGTGACCAGCTGACGATATGTCAGTTGTTACGATTTCACCGGCCGAACAAGCGTAGATGTTTTCGCGCTTTTAAATTTACGTACACACCCCAAGTACCCAACGATAATAATAACACTGTCGATGTTTATAAGCTTGTCGGTTAAGGTACACTTGAAGTGTTAGACGGTTGGCGTTCTCTCGTTTCGCTACTAATGAGACCTGTGTAGTGTATAACGTGTTTACAAGTGTGAAATTCCCAACAGTATTGGACTTACGCTGTTACATACTTATTATTTTCATTTTTTTTTCTTTTCGCCATATACAACCGATGTAGTTTTTCATAACAAGCCAAAGAATAGTTCCCTGTTTATATGTATGCGCATATATGTCTTGTATCGAAGCGACGGCGCTTACCAGGACGTTAACTTTTGCCAAACACTCGAATAATCGCCCTTCCTTCCGAACAGACAATGGCTAAAAATAACAAAAACACCATTATAAACGCTTGCCAATTATTCAAGTATTTGGCACCTGTCACCGTCGTTTCATTCTGAAAATCAAATATATCTCCCTAGGGTCACCGCGAACAACATCATCAAGTGCACGAAAGGGGTGAAAGGCAAATTTATTTGTTTGAAACGTTCATAGAAAATATTATCATGTTCGCAGCGATATATCTGTCGTTCAAAACCTTGTTTTTCGTCAATATATTTTTTCCTCTTCATTTTTTGACAAAAAAAATAAGTAACTTTTTGGTGAATAAAAGATTTTTGAATCATTCGAATTCGGATCTTTTTCGGAGATCCTAAATTATATAAAAGCGTTCATCGACGTTTTAAAATACATGTGATTCACAATAATCCAAAGCGGTGTAAAAAACTCGATTAATAAAGACATTGAAATATACTCGGAAGAGATAATGTGTTTTGCATTTCAAAGAATTAAAGTTATCGTGATTTGACTGCAATGTTTAATATAATAATGTAATTATACTTAATTCGGAATAAATTACAGTGGAAAATAAAAACATTTTACTATACAGCCGCACGTTCATCGTCACGTTCGAAAAGTTTTAACCAAGACGTTTGATAAATGTGCTTTTAATTTGCAACGTCATATTAATCAAAATATTATGCATCCATAATGGGCACACATATTTCGAAAACAATTCTAGAAACTAATACAAAATTTTTTCGCCCACGTTATCGTGATATTCGGTCATTGTTATCGTTACCAGTCGAAACGGCACTTTGGTAGGTGAAACGGTACCATAATATAACTCCTAGTTATACGAACCGTCGAGTTAACGTATATTATGGTCGACTATATGGTGCACACCGTTCACGTCTGGGGTTCGATCTTACACGACGTTATTTGGCCAAATCGTTGTCGCGGGCGAAGACCACGATTAAATGTGTACAGTGAAAACGTAACGACCGATAACCGAATACAGTGGTGGTACGGAGGTCAGAACGGATTTTGATGCCCTTGGGCTGTGTACCGGTGGTTTAATGTGTTCGTCTAGGATCGTCTCGATTAAACGACCGTAAGCGGTTCGGGTGACCGCAACGTTAGAATCGATCGGCAAGGTTGCCGGACATTCGCGGTGGACACCGAAGAGACGGATTGCGAAACCACGAGAATAATCGCTAGTCGCACCGGTTATTTATTGCATAAATTGTATATTGTTATGCAATATATTTGTATTATTTGCGGCACGTCGACGAATTCCTGTTTTGCCGCGCGCCGACGAGAAACGCTGCGGCTGGGGCGACTCGGATACACATATTTCCCGGGGTTGCTGACCTATCTGGTTTTGGTCGCGTTCGATTCCTTTTCCCTGGTTTTCAGAGTTGGAAAGGAGGTGATCGGAGGAGAAGCCTATGTTTTGCTTACACGGACGACCGAATATATAATGCCCACATGACACCAACCACATATGACTACTAGAAATGCGCTCGGAGTATCAAAACGATTTTAATACTTTTGAGCCCAATGTAATGGTCACGGTCTAATATTTTGCCCGGATATTGGAATGGTGCCCAATTTCTTTATTTATTTACTTATTTTTCTAGGGTGGATAAAATATGAGGTTTACGGAACGTTGCTTTGGAGTGATTACGATCGAAGTCTTAAAGAGATTTCGTTTTTGGATTGATCTTTGGTTCGTGATGAAGGGGAAAGTGTCGGAAACAATGCAGACACTTATCGATAAAACAGCTTCTAGATGACGCCAGTGACCATGGTGATACTAGCTCAAAAGCTTAAGTGTAATATGATTCAGTTTTAACAGATGGTCTTGTAATGATGTGTGCATTATTCGAATAAATAATATATTACAGAAAAATTGTAATTATGTACACCGTTCGATTGTGTAACGTGTTATACCCCAATAAATAATGATTCTTTGGATACGTGCTCAGACAACACAATTTAGATAATAATAATGCTCTAATTCAACAATACACTATTGAAATCTTAAGTAGGTCAAATTCTCAAAAAATTTGTCCCAAGTTCATCCCACCGCCAGCTTTTAGCCAAATGTCGTCAGTGCATGCATACCAAGGTTTTAGCCATAGACCGTTCAGTGCTTTTGTGTTAAGCTTTTGGTCATAGATGCACACCGATTGCTGGAACCTTTCAAGAAGCTTCTTTTGTGACAATTCATTACTACGCGCGATTATTTCATTTTTAATTTAATTTTACAATTCGATTTTTCTGTGCGAGTATCGAAAAGTGTCAGTCCACTAAATCCTGTGTCCGTTTCGTTTAATTTTAATTTCACTCTACTCCTATATAAGTCATAATATTATTATTTAATTATCTTAAGTTATTCTCTTTATGGTACCTATAGTATAATTTATAGTTTTTCTCATAATACGAGTATTAATTTAAGTGTTAAACAATTTCACATTTTTAGTATTGTAATATTATTTTCTTGTAAACACTAGTTTGCTATATTTTTTGTACACACGTTTTTAAAAATTCTTATAGCATCTACGTCGGTATATTTGAATAAATAAAAAAATTGAAAAAATTAAATAAATAAGTATCTAGATCATCGACACCTGAATAATTATTGCGGAAGAAGTAAGTCATATTTTATTTAGCTTAAAAAACCATCAAGTTACACTGATCGATTATCGTACCTTTGTAACCCCGAAAGCCTTCTCTTAAACAAAAAAAAAAATGTAATCAATCCAAACTCACCGTCTATATCCCTACTATTCATATATAATCCTTATTTTTCTTTCATTTGCTCTTCACTTTATTTTTTCTCTCATCATTTTTCTTTTTCCTTTTTTTTTTTTTACATTTTTACTTTCATTTTTTGTTTATTATATTATAGTCTTGACACGGTACATATATTGTGATTTATACTTTTGGATCTACATTTGGTGTAAACAAGTCTTTTTTATCTCAGGTCGGACAAAACATTGTATTTGATAGCGTAGTCATTTTTATGTAAGTTTTAATCTGATAAAATAAAATTATATTAACTATTGTTTTGGGTTGTCATCATATAAGTTGTTTTTTTTGCATTTATTCCCACTTCTTTTTCACATTTTTTCATACCCAAAAAATTTATTTATTTATATATATATATTTTTTTGTTTATTTTTTACACTACAAAAAAATAAAAATAAATAAAAAATTAAAATATCAGTCATCTCAAGCTTCTTGGAATATTCAAATCAATATTTCCATGACATCATAGTATTTCAATTATGTTTTTTATTGTATTGCTCAACTGTAGATTTATTTGACCAGAAGAATATTGCGTTGATAAACAATGAGCGTGGATAAGCCTACAATTTTCAAACCAATTTGAATCTTACGGCGAACGAAAAATAAATAATTATGTATTAAGGTAGGAAAGTGAAATAACTACAGGAAATTAAATATTAATAGTAATAATAATACTTGTAATACTCAGGTCGTAGAATAACTAAATAAAAGACGGCGCATTGTATAGACAATTCAACGGCGTCGGTGTCTTGCTTGTTGAAATGCCATTCAATCAGCCGGTTTTAATAATAATAATAATTCCATCTGATGAATATTTTATATTATTTTTTCATCCTTCATTTACGTAGTATTTGCTTACTAAAATATACTATTGTTAAACCATTGTTAGATTTACTTCTATAATCTTATTATGAAATATATTTCATATTGTGTTTTAATAATATTATGTAAGTTTTCTATAGTACCGCTGTGAAACGGGAATTTATCAATCTTAGCTTCGATGA